TACTAATATACTGGCCTGAAAAATATAAATCATCCAGTCAATTGTTATGTGATTGAAATTGGCTTTTAAAGGTCAGAGGACACCAGGTTACCCGTTCAAGGTGATAGAACGATAACGGTAGCTCAGATAAGTACTTGTTTTACTGAAGGTGAGTTTAATACTAATTCTGGATGCACAACACTTTAAACCATGACACAAATGGACTACAGCAGAAGACCACACCAGGCTCCACTCCTTTCAGCTAATGGTAGGAAACTGAATGTACAATTTACACAAACCCAACAAGAAAAACGTTCCTACGTCAGATAAGTCTCAATGTTTACTATCTGACAATTATGATAACTTCACATTCTACCTGAGTGACGTCGCTGACCATGTTCCTGCCTGACGACGGAAAGGGAGACTCGCATCATCAGAATTGCAGCAACCGTGTGACGAATACCAATCAGAATCTCCGACGGACTCCTTCCAACACCTTGTTTAATCTATATTTAATCAATATCTACAAGATGTCGGCTGGAATATCACTGCGGTAGATTCCCACACCTGATTCTGACGAGAATGTTCAAGACCCAAAAGGTCACAGAGTGAAAACATTGTGGTGACCTATGAGAAAGAGAGCAGTGAGGGAAAAAGCTATCGCATTATTTTCATTGCATCATTTAATGACAGTTTTTTGACACTATGTTCTGACAGCGTGCAGCCGCAGTATTGACATGAGGTTTTATTCTTATATTTTGGGAGTAACTAAGTGAGCATTGCTCTTATTGCTTTGGATCCATGAATTGTGAAGCTTGATATTAGCGCAGTTCCTCGTGTTTGTATGAAATGTGTTTTTTTTGTTGTTGTTTTTTAAGAAAAGCATGAATGCTTAGTCATGCAGGTTTCATTGTGCAACGATCAGCCTTGAATTAAGTTACAAGTCTGAGCAATCAAGTATTCATAAAAATACTTTTAAGTTGACATTTTGTTTATTTACCATTGTTTGTTCATGTTTATTTGTTGTATTTGGTTAATTAAATCTCAAAATCTTTATCAGAGTCTTGATTACATGGAGCACAACGGCTTCCTCTGATGCCTTGTGACAGCAAACACAAAGTTTATCTGATGTGTTGACTCTGCATTCTTGACTAGACAAATACAATGTTGCTGCTGATGTTGGTTACAAAGATTGATTTTAATGGACAGAAACGTAGTGTGTAGCAGTTTTAGTCCTTTGGGCAATGTTTACAGAAAATAAGTTCTGTGCCTTTGCTTTTCACGCAGCAACCTAAGACCAAGAAAGATAAAATAATCGAGAGAAAAGTCGTAAGGAAGACGGGAAGCAAAGCATGGTGAAGGAAACAGTCAGCAACAATATCTTTATGACTTCAAGTTTACGTTTGTCAGCACTTCTGAAGTTTCCTTGTTATTTTTTTATACACACTGCCTAGAAGAGAGACATTGATTTCATCTAACATTTTATCCTGGTATTACTATAAATGATCTTGAAAAACACATTCCATAAAAGGTTTTTATTAGGGGCAAGTGCATTTTACAGCTGAATTCAAATGTGCTCTGAACAGAATGTTTTTCTCTCTGTCTTTACTTCAGCAGGACTTTTGAAGGCTAAATCATGCCTATATGTTTATGATGTTATTCCAAAAGCATAGTACAGTCTCTTTTTCAAAAGTATATAAGATTTGACTAGATTTTCCAGTAAAAAGGATCCGGTAAAGACTTTACCACGAGGCGTAGATGGTTGATAAGCAATCGGATCCGAGGTACCGGCCGGTAGATGCTGAGGTTCTTTGGATGTTTAGTCTTTGGTAGTGGTACCACACTGGAGGTCTTCCACAGTTGTGGTACTTTCCCCAGATTCAGGCTCATGTATCCCATGATGCCACACAGTTGGTCTGCAGAGCACCTCAGGAAACAGCAGCTGACGCCACCTGGACCTTTTCATGTCGTTCATCCACCAGTTTCCGTCTCCTTAGACCTGAAATGGTCTTCAGGTTCTTCCAAACCACTGAACCTCCATCTTCTGTCTTTCTTAGATGTTTTTCATCCCTAATTTTCCTTCACAGTTATAATGACTCTCTTCCTCTCTTTGAGGAGAGCATTTATTTTTGGGGTTTTTGCACAGGTTGGAGATGTCCCAGGTCGTTTTCTAAGCCCCCTAGGGAAGGGAGAGGTGATCTGATGCTTCCTTGGTGCTGGCTTACAATGAGTCCAGTGTTTTATTAGCCTGGCTCATCTTGTCATACATATGATATTGAAGTGATGTCTTGGTTTTGGAATATTGACATCTCATGTTTTCAGTCAGATATTGCAGATCATATGCCCAGGACTGAAAAAGAGACATTCCTATTCTTGATGCTGCTCTTGTCAAATGATTTTTTCCGTTCCTCACATTTCTTCATCCTTCCGTTTTCTTTGTCCTGAATTGCATTACTGCTGTCAGTACAGAGATTTTGATGGACAACTGAGTCTTTACTGAAGGCGACGTCAAAGCACATGTACTCCACATGTAGCAAGATTATCTGAGAATCTGCAGCTGTTCTTCAAACTCAGTTTTCTGGTGCACTTTACACCTCAGACATAAAACTAGGCTGTCCCATGACACAACAGAACCAGCTCGTTTTGTCAGGCTTCAGCTGCACACCTGCATCTTCAGGGTAAGAGACAATCTGTTGAGGACGGTAAGGTTGGCGCTCTGGTTTTGCAGAAATGCAATGCCTTTCACACATCGCCTTCTAGAATCAACGTGGCCACTGTTTGGCACGTATAAATTAACGGTAAGGAACAGAGGCATGGATATGTGGGCATTACCTTTAAACCTGATGGATGGAGCTGATGTGCAGAAGGACCAGTGTTTTTGTTTTTCAGGAAGTTTCACAACTCCTATCCTCTTCTTGACACTGAATATAAGAGTGTTTCCAGTCGGAGGCTTCTTTAGGTTCACTGTAAAACAAATCGGTACAGAAGATGCTTCCTGCCCACAGAGTAACGACAAAATCATATTTAAATTTAAGATGATTAAAATTTGCCCTGTACTGGACTGGCGACCCGTCCAGGGTGCAGCCAGCTTCTCACCCAGTGACTGCTGGTAATGGGCAGCAGCCGTCCAACAACCCTGCAATGACAAGTGGGGATGGATGGATGGATGGATGGATGGATGATTAAATGAAACTGAACTGGATTTCCACTTTATTCCGATGGGGTAGAAGTTCACATGCTATATTTCCCCTGAAGACTCAACCATGAGATGAGCACAGGCCTGGAAATGAAACTGTTTTTTCCACCAGCAAATTTTTATTGACTGCTCGTCCAAAAGGTCACAGCAAAAGTGAGAATATCTAAAGCACTACAGGCCTCGCTTGACCAACGTTCATGTTTAAAAATAAAAAGAAACGTAGTATAAAATGTTATCTCACATGTGCTAAAAACATCTTCTGAATCCCCAAAACTTTGAGGGAAATATTCTGACCAACAAGGCAAAAGTGGGATGTTTTTGAAGTGGTGCATCTTATTAAATCAAATGTTAAACTAAGACAGCATTTCGGGACATGAGTCCATGCTCTTTGTTGATCTGTTCAGAGATTAAAAATTGAGGAAGTTCTGAGTTGTGATGCATTTAATGAACATGGGGAAACATGGAGGGATTGGTGCATCTCTAATTATAACCCACATGCATTTGGTTCTGCAGTACCAGCGGAGTTTTCTGTCCAGGACGGTTTGTGGTTGTAAGACTTTCTCAAAACAACGACCAGCAGAAAATGTAAAACCTTAAACCTTTGATTGCTTCGAACAGAAGAGGCCCTTAACATTTCAGGCAATTTCCAAGTAATGCAGAAAGGAAGCCTAGTTGCCTTCTGTTTGTGCCCTTTTTGAGATTTGACATGATCCAAATTAAACATCTAATAACCTCATTAATGAATAATTCAGTGTTCTCTATTTAAACCTCAATCTCTGAGTGTCCCTCACTTTTCCGGACAGCTGTTCATTGAATCTACTTGATGCCTAGTGAATGTATTTCTGGTGACTTTTTGGAAATGCAGTAATGAATCTGAGGTCGTTTAGATGATCAGTGCTCATATTTTGGCAGGCCAGACACTCAAATGATTCATAGATTAAAGGCGAGATTCAATCACTCCCTCATTTTTCAAGCTGCCTGGGCAAAGCATGTGTGACTCCAGATTTGCACGTTAGAAGATCCCTTTATTAATTTAGTGAGAGGGTAAAGATGGGAGATTTATGTGTGCAGAGAATCTCAACATGTGTCGCAGCAGGTTCTACACGCCTTCTGATGATTTCACCGCAGTGCTAATTGACAAGGCTGATCTCCAGGGAGAACTTTAATTCTCTGCTGGGTACAGGCACCATTAAACTGCAGCGACGGGAGATTAATGCTCATCTCGTTACTGACATTTGCTTTCTCGTTTTTTGCGGAAACTGTCTGGCAATGCCATCCGCTGAGGGTTGTTGTGAAGGATGAGTTCCAGAGGCTCTTTCTAAGTAATGTGCAGTGACAATAAGAAAAATGTTAGATGTGCCTGTTTAAACAGGAAGGGAATCTGGCTGAGTAAGGGACATGCCACAAAAACCAGGCCATCAGCAACACAGCGCTGTGAACTTTAAAACTCTGGTTTACAAGGCAGATCATGAATTTGCTTTGTGGTTGATAAACGACCGTCCTCAGCGTTGGTGATCAGGCAGCGGAAGAAGATGCTGCAGAAGAAATTGCAAGCCTACGGCCATAAAGATTCTTGTGAAATTGTACAATTTATTTCAAAGTTTGTCATATAAATTGCTCTAAGACGTTTTTTTTTTTTTGTTTTTTTTTGGTGCATGCTAGGATTTATTAGTGCTTTTACAGTCTCGGATGTGCTTACTGATCTGTTTTTAATGAATGACTACCGGTATTTTCAAACCTTGGACAGCTACTGTTTGCTTTATGAAACTCTCTCTGTTCTTTTCAGACTCTAATTTTGTGTCTCTTACTTTCTGTCTTTTCACAGGGGTCCTGCGAGCAGCACCTCACCTCAAAGAAACCAGACTGCGTGTCTGCGTGTACGTATGCACACACCTCTGCAGGTGCTGGCTCGCACTATATGTGTACGTGAGATGACGAGAAGCTAAGTGACTTCCACAACCACCTAGATCAGACAGCCCTCTGTGCTGCAAGATGGATTAAAGCCCCGCACCTCAGGAGATCAAAGGTAGGAGCGGATGTTTTGTAATCAGCAGCCACTCACCTGCTCTTTTCAATGACGGGATGAAGAGAATGAAGCGGGGAGAGGAAATGATGAATAACAATGAGTTTAAGGACAAGATCTTTCTGCCATCTGTGAACTTTAGGTTTTGATGTTGACGCCTGTCAGCTGTGTGCATGCGAGAGGAAGTGCTGAAAGTTTTAAGGGTATTAAAAGTGCTGCTGAAGCAACTTTAGCAGAAAGGTTTCCTCCCGCTGCCTCAGAATGCAACTTTAACCCGCTTCAACAAACCGAAATTATGTCGGAGTCTTAAGCAGACAGTGACAGGTTTGCCAAAGACGGGTAGTCATGCAACCGTCCCGCGTTCGGTTTATCTTGAAAGCCAGAAGTCGGATATACTTTGCATTTTGCAAATTTCAAGACATGGATTTGCCTTTTGTTGTGGATATTGACCAGGCTGAGATGAGTTGTAGCATTTAAACACTTAAATAACACTGTGCTGTAGGGATGACTAGTTCAGTGTAGAGATGTACAAAGGAATTGGCTGATGGCCGGAATGGTGATTATTCAGCTTGATTGGCTTTGGCTGCTGTAAGTGCACATAAAAAAAAAAAGGATAATTTTTTCAATACGTTAATGTACCATAATAAGCTCTACCAACTCTTAGTGATGATACAAACTCTCTTTTTGGTGTGGAAGATGTTAGTAAGTGAAGAGGCCTTCGTTTTATCTGTAAGTAAGTGGCCCAATTATTCAAGATTAATTTATTTTAAGTTGATATTAAGTTTCGGCTCCGACATTTTAGAGGCTGAACCGACGTGAACCTACAAATCGGTGTGAGTAAAGATGGCAGAGAGAGACCAGCAGCGTCCCTCTGTGTGAAATGTGTCATGGTGGACAGCACTGGCTTTTCGTGTTAGATCCTCCATTTTGATAAATGCTTTGTCTGTTATTATATGGGAATATTCAGAGGAGGGGAAAAAAAATGCACTGTTGCCAAAGTCAATAAATAATCATTTAATAGTTGACCAAAATAGTCTTGATCACAATTTTCTATAATTACACAACCCCAGTTGCATCAGTGAGATGTTTAAACTGAAATCAAAGGAAATTAAAGGTTCAGAGTCATTTGGATGAAAGACTTATTTACAAAAGGGAACAAAAGGTTGTTTAATTACCTGAACTTTTTCAGAGGAAAGCGAGTCTGTTCAGGTTTTGTGAAAATTTTTCAATAGGAGGAATAAAATTAAAAATGTAGAAAAAAAAAAAAATTAAACTCGCCGGGTTGCGTGGTGAAGGCTGAGAAAATTATGGCGAAGGCAGCACACCATACATACAGCACACACCAACGCTGTGGAATCGATAAACAAGTAGAGTTTGTCTTCATGTTCGTATGAAAAAAAAAATAATTAATGGAAAATGGGAAGGTTACGTACCTTGATTTTAATGCTGTTGACAAAGGGTGAGTAATGTGGCTCTTTGTAAAAGGGCTTTTATTCATATTTTGGCAGAGCCGTTCTCCGACTTCCTTGAGAATAATCCTCATGTGACTCATGTTGCCTAAGATTCATTATTTAATAATGTTCCTGGTCACATTGTGCTGTAACTGCAATGAGTGTTTTATCAAATGAAACGTGGCTCTGTGCTGATCTAATGAGCTGGTACCCAATTTTAATTTCTGTTCTTTTCTGTTTTGTTATTAATTCAGTTGGGTTGTTTAGTTACAGGAAGTTGTATTTTCTCTAAAACCGGTGGATATCGCAGTTTTACGTCTCTTCAATCTCCGTCTTGGTGTTGGAATAGTTAAGTCGCTTTTACTGGCAGCTGTAACATTTTTTATTTTCAATCAGCTGTTGGAAGGAGGGTCAGAGGCTGAGTCAATGTTGCCGATAGCATTGTAGCATAAAACATCACAATATCAAATGCTGTTTTTACAGCGGCTGCCGTGTTAAGTAGCAGCGTGACGATGCCTCCGCTGCCGGCATGAATAATTGATGACTGCTCGCAGCAGGAGGGGAAGAAAAACATTCAGTGTTGTTGTCGTGTCGTCTTAAAATATTGGGCTTTCTCAAGATAAATTGCATTCAGCTAAAATAGGAGGGTTAACAAAAACTAGATTAGAAATTAGGTTAAAATAGTCTTGCTGGTGAATCTCTAGATTAATGGGATAAATCATCAAAAAAAAAAAAAAAAGTGGTGGGGGGGAGCAAATGAGCGTTATTTCTCAAGCTACCTCGTTTTGCAGCCATAACCGATTTGGAGACAATCCTGGCTCTTTACGACTCTTAATTCTAGATTCACTTGGTGTTAGTTAATTTTTCCAGATTCAGAAAATCCGCCTTGGCGTTGCAGCAAAGGCAGCACAGCTGTTGGTGCTTCTTGGATCATTGGCTTTCTTACAGCATTTTGTTTGAAAGCGCTGCAGCTCGTCAGCTATGGGTGGCCATTCTGAACACTGCTCTTGCTGAGACACTTGCTTATTCTTTTTACTGCTCTATTATTCATGCGCTGGGAATACCGAGCAGTGAAGATATGTTTGTTTTGCAAGGGACCGTAAAGTGTTGCACATTTTTCTCTGGAGATCATACCCAATTACTCAAGATGCATGTTGCAAAAGACAATTTTAAACATGTTACGTCCTCGTTTTGAGAAATATAAATGGTAAAGATGATCCTAAAGCTAATATTTGAAGTTGGTTCGTGATACACTAAAGTTATGCTCTTTTAGATTCCTATGAATCAGTCAAAATACAGGAAACAATAATAATTCTCATGCTGATCTCTGTCCAGAGTTGCTGATCTACCCATTAGCAAAAACCACAACTGTGAATAAATTGCAACCTGGACACTTTCAAACATCTGGATTGTGTAGTCAAATAGCTGACTGCTGTGAGAATGTATTTTCTGAAGCTGCAGGTCTTTTAAAATAAAACAAAAAGTAGTGCACCACTATTAGGGCGGCAGCTTTTCAAAGCCGTCTGTGTTGTTTTGTGGCGAAACTGCCGAAGGAACGTTTTTCAGTTCAAGAGGTTAATTTGAGTGGAAAATGGCTACAGAGTGAATTATCACCGGTAAACATCAGGATCGACTTTTGAATTGCCACCCTTTTCTCCAGTTTTCTAAATGTTTTCTAAAAACTTGTTGCCGTTGTGGGCTAGAGAAGGAACCAGGCCAAGAAAAACAAACACCTCCACTTTTGTTCTTTAATTAGTCGGCTTCGTTACCAACCCATCTATAAATGAAAGCCTTAGAGAGCACAACTCCTGGAAGGATTCCTGCAGAACAGTTTGAATAAAATCTGACAAGATTAGACACGGACGAGGCAAAGTAAGGACAAATGAGAGTTAATGACGAAAAGGTGACGGGAGCACGCAAAGTACATCTTTTCCTCACTTAAGTCTCTCTGTAATTAAATGATTGAAGAAAAAACTTTTCTGAAAGCGAATCTTCTGTTATGAGAATACTTCATCTCAATTAGCCTAAAAGCAAAGGTACCGATAAATGATGGGGAGCTTTCTTTCATCAGAACAATTCTTTTATTTAATAAATCATGAAATGATAAAAGCTTTTATTGAAATATTATTCCGTACTGTCTTATTAAAGGGCAGACATTTCCTGAACATTCTTTAGGTCACACTTTATCCATCTTTGCAATATATATCCATACGTGTATGTTTTTTTTATTTATTATTATTTTTTACTTTTGCCGCTCACACAACTCTTAATAATTTTGAAGATTGGGTTACCTTGTGTTTTTCTTTTAATATTGTCTAATTTTGGCTAAAAGCTCCTTTCTTTTCTTTTTAAAGACAAGGATGCCCAGTGAGTCTTTAATTTCTGTAAAGTCATTCCAAACTCTAAGCAAAGCTGCAATTATGTGTTTTGAATTTGTTTCAAGGCTGCAGTCTTTTGCCTTTGCTGGCAGAATAGAGATAAACAGAAGGTCTGATCAGGTTCACAACCTACTCTTTTTCACACCAACAATGTCAGATTTCGCTCTGGAACAAAGTAAAAGTATTTTCAAACTCTGACAAAAGGAAGAAATTTGACAGATGGTTGCAAAATTAAGCCACACGTTTTCTCAAAGAGCATTGCACATAAACATGTAGCAACATTGGCAGGTTTCATTGCTTTCTAACTCAAAATGATAGAATAATGCAGTCTTACATTAAGAGTTTATGTATTACCTTGACTAGAGGATTTAATATAGTTCTCCCCAGATGAAAATTATGGTTCAAAATCTAACCCAGTTAAAGTTTGCGGGGAAAAAAATAAACCATATACGAGTTCAAACTGGAATCATTTCCACCCTGATGATCTGTTTTTACCACGGCAGATGAAGAGAATGAAGTAAAGATCGACCCCAGAAAAATATCCCAGGTTCTGGAAAAGCTTCCCGAGATGGGATTACTCCTTCTCATCTCTCCTAAGTGCATAATCAATAGCGCTTTTCAAAAAAGCTAGTTAATTTCTTTCTTTAACAATGTAATAAACATGCAAACCGTTGTGTGTGGTGAGGCTTCAGTCAGCAGGAAAAAAAAATCCACACGACAACGCTTTGCGTAGCCTGGAGTGAAGCCCGTTACGATGCAACTGCATAGAAATGGGCAACAATTTCACAAACTGTGACTTAACGTCGTCCTTCTCCAGCTGGAATTCCTCTCTGATCCTCTGTGCCCTTCGTCTTTCTCCAAAAAAAAAAAGAAGCTGCAGGAAACCTACTGAAACACATTTTCTTTTCCTTTCTTTTTTCTCTTTTTCTTTCTTTCTTTTTCTTTTACAAAAAAAAGAGAGGACAAAGATTTGTCTATATACCAACTGACTGTTTCAGGACTGGAATGCAGTGCAGGACAAAAATCACAACACACAAACAACTGTTTAGTTTGAACAAAAAAAAAAAAAAGTAAAAACTAAATAAGGCATGTATATTTTTATAATATAGTGAAAATGTGTTAAATTAATCAATTCTTGCAGAAATTTCTTTAGCTGATAAAGCAAACTGATTCC